AACCCTCACCGCAATCAATTCCTGCCCAAAAAACAATGTCCCCACTGTGGAAGGACGTGTGGGTGCAGAATTGGCCTCCACGTTCATGGAAGTCAATCTTACTTGGCTACGAGAGGAGAAGAAGAAGAAGAAGAAGAAGAAGAAGAAGAAGAAGAAGAAGAAGAAGAAGAAGAAGAAGAAGAAGAAGAAGAATTTCTTAAGCCAAAGAACATGTTGAAGGAAGGCAGATCTCTTTGCAGTCCCAGCCCAAGACATTTTTGTTACATTAAGAGAAGCAGCAAATGACTCCTTATCTCCACTTTCTGCCACATGTCTATAAACCCAGATCGCATTGCAGGGCTGTTGGTTGCCATTCACTCTCACAATTTCAGCTCCTTCTTCCATAATATAAAAGTAACATAGCAGGGATGTTGTAAGCCACTCTCAGCCTTAGATATGCTTCCAACCTGCAGTGAACTGTCTTGGAGCACTGCTATTAAGTTATATTCTCTCAGCCTCACCCTAGGGATGGGGGAGAAATGGGATTTAGTTCACAATTTAAGGTGAATCTGCCTAATTTGTACCTTCATATGGCAGCCAAACTCGGCCATCCTTCAAAATTTTCACTTCTCCAAATTTTGTAATGCAGTGATACAGCTATGTAATGCATACAAAAAAATCATCTACCGGGATAAGGTGTGCATAAGAATGTATCTATTACTGAAAAACAACATGCAATAAATGAATTATACCAGGGGAAGTTGCTTTGCGAAAACTTGTACGTTAGGCAAAATTGCATAGAAAAATTACACACAAAATTAGGAGAATTTTCTGGTGAGTTTTCATCAGGACTTAGAAAAAAGGGGTGTGGAAATGTGAAGAACTGTATGCAACAACGGCAGTGAGAATGCTACTAGCCCAGAGATGGAAGGAAGGAGAAGTACCAACAAAAGAAGCATGGCAGGTGAAACTGATGGAGTACGCGGAGATGGTGAAACTGATGGGGAAGATCTGAAACCAGGAAGATCAAGTATTTTCTAAAGACTGGAGTAAATTTGAAATTGATTTAAAGGACCACTGTAAACAGTTAAAATCTTTGGCAGGGATGTAAGGACACTTGTAATGTGGAATTATTTATGGCAATTATGGTTATATAATAGATGGATAATGGTAAAAGATGAAGAAAATTTAATCTTGAATATGGAACCCATGGAGGGAGGGAAGGAGGACTGAAGGCTCAAAAGAACCCCTGTATTTTATTGTTTGAAATGGTTGCGTTTTTTATGTATAAAATTATCAAAAACCCAATAAAAATTATAGTGGTACCTCTGGATGAGAACGGGATCTGTTCCGGAGCCCCGTTCACATCATGAGCAGAATGCAACCCGCATCTGCGCATGTGCATGTCACAATTTGCCGCTCCTGCGCATGCTCGTGACATCATTTTGAGCGTCTGCGCATGTGCGAGCGGCGAAACCCGGAAGTAACCCGTTCTGTTACTTCTGGGTCGCCGTGGAACGCAACCTGAAGACGCTCAACCTGAAGCATCTTTAACCCGAGGTATGACTGTATTGTTGGGACGTGGGTGGTGCTGTGGGTTAAACCACAGAGCCTAGGACTTGCTGATCAGAAGGTCGGCGGTTCGAATCCCCGCGACGGAGTGAGCTCCCGTTGCTCGGTCCCTGCTCCTGCCAACCTAGCAGTTCGAAAGCACGTCACAGTGCAAGTAGATAAATAGGTACCGCTCCAGCGGGAAGGTAAACGGCGTTTCTGTGCGCTGCTCTGGTTCGCCAGAAGCGGCTTAGTCATGCTGGCCACATGACCCGGAAGCTGTACGCCGGCTCCCTTGGCCAGTAAAGCGAGATGAGCGCCGCAACCCCAGAGTCGGCCACGACTGAACTTAACAGTCAGGGGTCCCTTTACCTTTACCTTTTTACCCCCAGCACACCTGCAATGTGGGAACATTAATGCTGGAGTATCCTGTTTCTCTTTTTCTCTCAACCACATTCTGTAATATAACAGTAGGTGGAGACAGAGAAAAAGACCCATCTTGTACTTTGGCTCAAGCCCAGATTCTGACTATACTGGGACACAGTTGGGAAAAAAAAAAATCGCATGTCAATAAATAAATAAATGCAGATACATGTTGGTCACTAGATGGCACTGCAAGCTCATGAAGATTTGCCTGAAATAGAGAGAGAGGACTTTTTGCAAGTGGGGTCTATATTGTCAAACAGAAAGAGTGGATTTATCTTTCATAAAGGTAGCATGCATCCCTCATGTCTCTCCTAGGCTGTGCTGGTGTTGCAGCAGGGATAGCCATGGCTCAATGATGGGGCCTCTGCTTTCCATGTGAAAGATTCCTGGTTCAATTCCCAGCATTCCTGGATGGGACTAGGAGAGATCTCTGCCTGAAACCCTGGACAGCTGCTGTCACTCAGCATAGACAACAATAAGCTAGATGGACCAATGTTCTGACTCAGTATGAGGCAGCTCCCTATGATCCCAAATATTCCAAATAAGAAGGATATGGCTATCAGAAGTTACTTGCCATTATGTGGCCGTGTGCCACCTCCATCACAGGCTGGCCCTGTTAATAGGCAAGGTGAGGCAACAGCCTCAGGCATCAGATCCTAGGGGCAGAAGCAGTAGCCTTCTGGACAGCTGCAAGGATGCTATTTGCCCAGAGATGGAAGGACGATAATGTTCCAACCAGAGAAGAATGGATAATCAAGATGATGGACTATGCCAAAATGGCAAAACTGACCAGGAAAACCAGAAACCAAGAAGACAAGAAGTTTAACAATCAATGGAAATTTTGTACAGATTACCTTGAAGAATGCAGTAAACATTCAGAAACGTTAGCAGGGTTGACATAGCACTTGTCATGTAATAACTGTATGGATAAAATTGGATATAATTTTCTTGGATAAATATTGTAAGATGGAAACCATGGGGGAGCAGAGGGAGGTCCAAGGATTCAGGGAATCCTATACATGTATAAAATTGATTATAAAGGTAAAGGTAACGGTACCCCTGCCCGTACGGGCCAGTCTTGACAGACTCTAGGGTTGTGCGCTCATCTCACTCTATAGGCCAGGAGCCAGCGCTGTCCGCAGACACTTCCTGGTCACGTGGCCAGCGTGACGAAGCTACTCTGGTGAGCCAGAGCCGCACACGGAAACGCCGTTTACCTTCCCGCTAGTAAGCGGTCCCTATTTATCTACTTGCACCCGGGGGTGCTTTCAAACTGCTAGGTTGGCAGGCGCTGGAAGCGACGGGAGCGCACCCCGCTGCGGGGATTCGAACCGCCGACCATGTGATCGGCAAGTCCTAGGCGCTGAGGTTTTACCCACAGCACCACCCGCGTCCCTTAAAATTGATTATATTTGAATGTAAACAGCATTCCTAAAAACTGAAAATAAAAAAAATAAAAAGAAGAAGCAGTAGATTACTCTCAGTTCCCTCTGATGCATCCCTACCTAAGTGTTCTTCTCTGCTGGGAGGCACATGGCCTGTTCTGCACCCCCTAAAGTAGTCTGTTGCCTTCAGGGGGGCACTATCCTGTTGCCCATATTGATCTAAGATTCAGCAGCCAGCCTAGCTGGTTTCTGTAGGTGGCATGCAGAGGGGCTTCCTGTTACCCTTCGCCTCAGGTAGCCCAGTGTCTTTGGCTGGCTTTTTAGCTAGTTCCAACCCCCTCCCCTAAATTTTGATAGGTCCCACACTCCCAAGGCTGGAGAGAGATTCCAGGGCATTAAGGACCATTTTATGTCCTTAATCACCCATCCAGTTTCTCAATCACCACTATGTGATACAGTCATACTTCGACTCCCAAACATCTCCGTTTTGGAACGTTTTGGCTTGTGAACACCGAAAACCCAGAAGTAAATACTCTGGGTTTCGAATGTTTTTCAGAAGCCGAACATCCGAGTGCAGGAAGCTCTTGCAACCAGTGCTTTTTTTTCTGGGGGGACACAGGGGTTTGCCAACAAAGGTCCGTATAGTTAAAGCTATGGTTTTCCCAGTAGTGATATATGGAAGTGAGAGCTGGACCATAAAGAAGGCTGATCGCCAAAGAATTGGTGCTTTTGAATTATGGTGTTGGAGGAGACTCTTGAGAGTCCCATGGACTGCAAGAAGATCAAACGTATCCATTCTTAAGGAAATCAGCCCTGAGTGCACACTGGAAGGACAGATCCTGAAGCTGAGGCTCCAGTACTTTGGCCACCTCATGAGAAGAGAAGACTCCCTGGAAAAGACCCTGATCTTGGGAAAGATGGAGGGCACACGGAGAAGGGGACGACAGAGGACGAGATGCCTGGACAGTGTTCTCAAAGATACCAGCATGAGTTTGACCAGACTGCGGGAGGCAGTGGAAGACAGCAGTGCCTGGCATGCTCTGGTCCATGGGGTCACGAAGAGTCGGACACAACTAAACGACTAAACAACAACAAACATTTTGTGACTCTAAGTTTGGCCTCATTGAGGGGCATTATTTCAATATAAGTAGAAACATTAGAGTACCCTGAAACATATTTTTTAATAGAAAAAAAGGACTGATTGCAACCAAGCAGCACCTTGGTTGTCGAACATTTTGGAAGCCAAACGGGCTTCCAGAACGGATTACGTTCGACAACTGAGGTTTGACTGTATCTCACTTTGGCTTACTGAGGTGTGTGGGATATAGCTATTAATGATCAATTAACACGTGTCATTAAGGTAAGATGAGGAATATGCAGGAGAAATGACTTTGAGGAGATATGGAGGGAGTTTGTAGAATGTTTACTGTTAAAATGGAAGGGAGTCAAAGCATCGCAAGATGTGTTGAAATTTTGGGAGGCTGAATAGTTACAATGGAATGGTCTTGGTGGTGGGGTGCACATTTTTATTCTTATTTATTAATTATTATTACTTTGTCCAAAAAATAAATAAATTCCCAGGTTTACTGAGGTGGCCAAACTCATGACAACAGCCAGGCACTCAAGCAGGTAAACACAAAGCTAGACACCTGTCCTCACCTGTCACCTGAATGGTGAGCTCGCATTTCTGTTGTCCAAACTCATTGGAGGCAAGACATTGATACATTCCAGAGAATGCGAGTGAGATGTTTCTCAGCCACAGATTCCCTGTTTTGTCATCTGTGGGGAGGGAAGAAGGAAAAAGTGAAGTTTAGGGTCAATTTGCCCAATCTCAAAAGAACGGCACAGCCTGCCTATTAATTGCTGGACCCTGTAAGCAGATGAAAAGATTAGCAGGATTTTAATCTCACTTGCAATGCAACAAATACTATGGACAACATGGTTTGATTTGAAATATAGATTATGATATAATATGCAGTTGAAAACGTTGAAAATAGGACCCATGGAGGGGAATGGCGGGTGTGTGTGTGTGTTGAGATTCAGAGAAATCTCTCTATATGGATAAGTACTTGATTTTGTTATAAACTTGTACAGTGGTACCTTGGTTCTCAAACTTAATCTGTTCTAGAAGTCCATTTCAAATTCAAAGTGTTCCAAAACCAAGGCATGCTTTCCCATAGAAAATAATGTAAAATGGATTAATCTGTTCCAGACTTTTAAAAACAACCCCTAAAATAGCAATTTAACATGAACTTTACTATCTGATGAGACCACTGATCCATAAAATGAAAGCAATAAACAATATACTGCAGTCACACAATCAATCATTCAGTAGCTGAACTGGGTTCCACACAGTCACAGAAACAAAACAAAAAAGCCGCAAAATCAAAAATGAAAAATAATTAGTAAAAACAGACAGACCTCAGCGTAACACTCAAAACAGAGGTGTGGCACTCAAATCGGAAGTGTAACACTCAAAATGGAACATGTTTGGCTTCCAAAGAAAGTTTGCAAACTGGAACACTTACTTCCGGGTTTGCAATGTTTGGGTTCCAAGTTGTTTAAGAACCAAGGTACCACTGTATTTGTAAAATCAAATAAAAACGATTTGAACTGCCGATCTTCCAGTTGGCAAGCCCAAGAGGCTCAGTGGTTTAGACCACAGCGCCACCCGTGTCCCTGCACATCTATCTGCATTACCCTATTGGTAAGAACGAAAATTGCACCAATGCAGTTTTCCTTTTCCAAAGTGTTCCTTAATAGTAATGTATCTGAGGAGAGCAGTTATTCACTCACCTTGCACCATATTGGACAGAGGTAGCGGAGTCTTGGTATCCAGCCGTGTCCAGGAATAAGTTGGCGAAGGCACACCTTCGGAAGAATTGCAGGTCAGGTGGGCGTCTGAACCCACGGAAGCAGAAGTGGTCCCTTTGCACACTGGAGTGGATGGAGGCACTGTTGGGGGGGGGGGAGAGATAATTCAGTGCCAGGACTCATAGAATTGTAGAGTTTGCCTTTAAATTTATTTATTTGGTTTTTCAAATTAAAATTTTACAGAGATTTATCAGACATAAGTCATAAAGAGGAAGCAATCCCGACTAAAGAAAATTGGCAAACCAAGTTAATGGACTATGCTGAAATGGCGAAACTATCTGGAAAGCTCAGAAATCAAGAGGACAAGAAATTTTAAAAAGAATGGGAAATGTTTATTTTGTATTTGCAAAAGTATTGTAAACAGATTAATTAATACATTGGCAGGATTTTAAGAACACTTGTAATTTTAGAAATAGGACAGGAAATCTGAAGTAAAATAATAATAATTTGGAGTAGAAATGCTATTGCAGTTGAAAAGAAAATTTAAGGAACCAGGGATGGGGATGGGGGAGGGAAGACACGGGGTTCAGAAAATCCCATTTTATGGATTTGACATTGTTTCTGTGTATATTTTCCTTTGTTTATGGTTGTTATTGTATTTGTTACTGTGTGGTTTTTTTTTACTTTGGTTATTTTTGTTGAAAATTTAATAAAAATATTATATAAAAAAGGAAGTGGTTCAATATGGACAAAGCCCCCTTGAAGGCATACTCCTGGGCCCCCATCCACACTATACATTTAAAGCACTATCATACCACTTTAAACAGTAGGGGAAAGCATGTGATGCATCACTGTAATAAATGTTAAACTGAACAATCGTGTGTTCTTGGCTATTTGCGTGCAGGGAGAAAGGGACTGGGGGCTTTCAGATGTACCCCTTCCCATGGAAACCCAACACACTCTGAGGGGTGTTTCCAGGGTTCATGGGGGGGGAGAATGTGCTTTAAATGTATGGTGTTTATGCAGCCATAGAGTCATAGCTCTGAAAGAAGTCCAAGGGCGAGAGCATGCCCAACAGATGTTTGTCCAGATTCTGCTTGAGGATGTCCTCTGGAGATTAAGAACCGTTGTCCTTCTAGGTAACTGGTTCCCTTGGCGAACTGCTCTTAAACTGAATACATTTCTCCTTATACATAACCAAGTTCTCCCTGCCTGCAACTTAAACCCATTCAACCGATTGGGTTAACTTAAATCCAACTTAAACCCATTCCCCACCCTGCCCTCTGGGGAAACAGAGACAAAACGTTTGGCCTGCTTTCAGCCTGGTTGCAGGACTGCGTCCCTTCTATTCAATTGTTATATACTGAGTTGAATAGGATCCAAAATGCAGCAGTCTGATTGGTCCTAGAACAATAGGATTCAGAATGCAGCAGTCTGATTGGTCCTCGAACAATAGGGTCTAGAATGCAGCAGTCTGATTGGTCCACAGGAGCCCCCCAATCCAGCTCCAGGTGGAAGTGAATCTGCAACCTGATTGGCCTACAGGAGAATCCTGGAATTAGCCAATCACGTGGGGCCCATTGTGAAAATAATTGTGGCCTTTGCCTCCTAGGTGGGTCATAAGGAAAGGGTTAAAATGAGTGTGATGTGATTGGCCAGTGGAAACTGATAGGAGGAGTTAGAGGAGAGTTGGAGTTGTGTGAAAGTCAGTTGAGAGTTGGGAGTTAGAGAAGAAAGTGGGAGAATAGTCTGTGGGTTGGTTGAGGTGTGGTGAGAGAGTGAGAGGAATTGTTAGGTGGAGTCAGATAGTTAGTTGGGATAATAAGTTTGAAGTTGTTAAGAACAAATAGGACAGTTAAGGAAATAAGATTAAGAAACTGACAAGAAAAATTAACTGAAACCATAAGCTTGTTCATGCCTATAAATAAACTTGAATATTTGTTAATGTTAACAACTGACTGGACTCCGTGTGTACCCGTGAGAAACGGGTTGGTGGCAGCGAAGAAAGCAATCACAGTGGTGGCACAGGGTCAATAGACCGCCAAATGTCCGGGGACCCTGTGTGATCGCCACAATAATGTATATAAAGCAGACATTCTGGGGGAACTTCCATTCCTCCTCACCACTATGAGCTGAATAAAGAGCATGAAATCCACTCTCGACTCCGAGTATATTTCATCAATGTTAAAAGGGAACTGGGACTTACTTAAAACTGTGAGCTGGATGAGCCCAACGCTCGTTCCATAGAAGTCCGGGGGATTGTTCACCTCGCAGATATAGGTGCCGGCATCGGATGCGTGCAAGTCAGTCAGCTGGATGGAAGCATCACCCAACGTGGGAAGATCTTGAAGGAGGCTTAGCCGTTCACTCTGGGAGCCTGGTTTGTACAGCTTATTATTTGTGAAGTAGAGAATCTGCAGAGAGAAGGGAGGCTCCGCTGGATACAGGCACCTCTTCAGAGTTACCTGGGTGTATCCCTAACCTGTTGATAAACCCATGAGGTTACTTGAAGGAAATACACTTTTAACATGGGCTGGTGAACCTGTGGCCCTCCAGCTGTGGTTCTCCACCTGGATCTTTGGTTGTACTGCCACCCAACAACATCTGGACAGCATCAGGTTCCCCATCCCTGACGTACAAGCTATAACTGAATCATGCGCTGGAAGTTAAAATAAAGCTGCTATCCAAAGCATGCTTATTTGAACGTTAACACCATCAAGATCAATGGGACTAACTTCAAGTCGATACATATTGTGGATAGTATGCATAGGCAGCTATGTCAGATTATGGCCCATCTGTGCCACACAGCTATGTCATATTATGGCACATCTGTGCCACACATTGCTTATACCAGTAAAACAGTTGTGGCGCCCTAAAGAATGTTGGGAACTGTCATTTGTTAAGGGTTCTGAAAGTTGCTAGGAGACCCCGATACCCCTCCCAGAGCTACAATCCCCAGAGTTCCCTGTGAAGAGGAATTTAGTGACCCGGAAACTACAGCTAATCCAGAATGCAGCAGCTAGACTGGTGACTGGGAGTGGCTGCTGAGACCATATAACACCAGTCCTGAAAGACCTACATTGGCACCCAGTATGTTTCTGAGCACAATTCAAAGTGTTGGTGCTGACCTTTAAGGCCCGAAATGGCCTCGGTCCAGTATGCCTGAAGGAGCATCTCCACCTCCATCGTTCAGCCCGGACAATGAGATCCAGCTCTGAGGGCCTACTGGCGGTTCCCTCACTGCGAGAAGCAATGTTACAGGGAACCAGGCAGAGGGCCTTCTCGGTAGTGGCACCTGCCCTGTGGAACACCCTCCCATCAGATGTCAAGGGAATAAACAACTATCTGACTTTTAGAAGACATCTGAAAGCAGTTCTGTTTAGGGAAGTTTTTAATGTTTGGTGTTTTATTGTGTTTTAATATCCTGTTGGGAACCGCCCAGAGTGCTGGGGAAACCCAGCCAGATGGGCAGCGTATAAATAAGTTGTTGTAGTAGTTGCAGTTGTTGTTGTTAAACCACTTGGAAAATAAGGAGCCCCTACAACTCCCAACACCCCTAACAGACTACACTCCCAGGATCCTTTGGGGGAATGCCATGACTGTTTAAAGCTGTATGCATTCAATGAGAGTACAGTAGTGTCTACCTGCATACACAATAGCCGAGCTGCAGAAACAAACTAGTGTACACACTTTCACACGTAGGGACAGCTTATGTTTGCATTCAATGTAATGTGTGAACAAGCCCCTAGATATAACCCCAAAGAGCATCACTGCACAACCTAATACCCATTCTATAAGGATCAGGTGGCTCTTCTAGAATAGCGAGTGAACAAAGGGCAGAGTCATGGTTATCGTGTTGGACTTCAGCTGGGGACACCTGTGGTCAAATCCCTGATCCGTCATGAGGGGCACTGGGTGACCTTGGACCAGTTGCTGCCTCTGCCTACCCTTCCAAAGAGATGGATCATGTACCAGCCAAGGCTACACTAGCCCTCTGTCACCTCACCACCGGGGCGTGGGTGGCGCTGTGGTTTACACCACTGAGCCTCTTGGGCTTGCCTATTGGAAGATCAGTGGTTTGAATCCCTGTGACAGGGTGAGCTCCTGTTGCCCTGTCCCAGCTCCTGCCAAGCTAGCAGTTCGAAAGCACACCAGTGCAAGCAGATAAATAGGTACCACTGTGGTGGGAAGGTAAACGGTGTTTCCGTGCACTCTGGTTTCCGTCACGGTGTCCTGTTGCACCAGAAGTGGTTTAGTCATGCTGGCCACATGTCTCAGAAAGCTGTCTGTGGACAAACTCTGGCTCCCTCGGCCTGAAAGCGAGATGAGCGCAGCAACCCCATAGTTGTCTTCGACTGGACTTAACCGTCCAGGGGTCCTTTACCTTTTTTTTTTAACCTATCACCACCACCATCCTGAAACTCACAGCAACTCGCAAATAAATGCAGCTCTAGCAGATCACATCATTACACCTGCTGTGAAAACGCTGCTGCTACTCTAGCAGTTTGCCCAGAGGACCACCTCTTGGAGTTAGAGACTGACTCCAATGCTAGAACTTCCCATCTCATCTGCTGAATGCAGCTTGTCTTCTCTTCCTGTTGATCAGCTGGAGAAGAGCCTGACTCTGAACTTAGGCATCTGAGAAATCTCTTGAATCTTATCCAGCCAAACCTTTTGGGAGTTGGGTAATTTTAGCAGTTTCTGTTTATAGCTCTATTTCTTTACATTCTTAACCCTGTGAATGTGTACTCAGAAGTCAGTCCTGCTGTTTTCAGTGGGCCTTACTCCCTAGAATGTGTAAGGTTGCAACCTCAACAAATTTCAGACAAAGTGTTCGTCCACAGTTTTCTGCTCGACCTCCAATTTGTAGGCACGATTCCAAGTAATTTTCCTTTTGCTTATCTCTCTCTTCAGGGAAAACCCTCCCTTTAGTGCTAAATCAGGGCAAATGGCAATCAGGAGAAAACCCAAATCGCTATTTGCTCTGATTGAGCACTAAAGAGTGGTTTTCCCTGGAAGAAAGCAGTAGGATAACAGGAAGCCCATAGTTTAAGCAGAATGTCCTCTTCCCCCTCCATATTTTTTTTTTAACTCCGAGGTTCGTTTGGTTGAGATCAACACATTCTCCTTACGCAACTTTCGTTATGGGTCACATCACTGCCCCCCACCCCTTCACCTGTTTCCCTTGGTCGTGAGGAGTTGAGCCGGGGGCAAACCTCCATTCAAGCACAAAGTTTTTGTCAACGGATGTTTTGTAATGACATGGCAGCTCCACACTCGAACCTCTCTGCTGCATGACTGGATCTTGTGGTACGGTCACCTCCACACACTCCCCACAGCCTGCAGGGGAAACGAAAGAAGAAGCTCACCAGTTTGATCATTTCATCTCTTGGATTACTACAGAGGAGGTTGTGCCCCCCCCCCCAATGTTGTTGGAATTCCAGCCTCCATTGACTTCAGGCAGCATAATCAGATTAGGAATGATTGGATGTTTTAGTGCAGAATGAATGAATGAATGAATGAATGATATATTTATTGTTAAAAGCTATAAAAGTAAAGGTAAAGGTACCCCGGACGACTCTGGGGTTGCGGTGCTCATCTCGCTCTATAGGCCGAGGGAGCTGGCGTTTGTCCGCAGACAGCTTCTGGGTCATGTGGCCAGCATGACTAAGCCGCTTCTGGTGAAACCAGAGCAGCACACGGAAACGCCGTTTACCTTCCCGCCGGAGTGGTACCTATTTATCTACTTGCACTTTGACATGCTTTTGAACTGCTAGGTGGGCAGGAGCTGGGACTGAGCAACGGGAGTTCACCCCATCATGAGGATTCAAACCGCTGACCTTCTGATCAGCAAGCCCTAGGCTCTGTGGTTTAGACCACAGCGCCACCCGCATCCCTCGGTAAAAGCTATAAGCCATCACAATGTATAGAATACAAATAATTGATTTAAAACTGAACAACAACAGCAAAGCAAACATACAAAAATGCCAAAATCACACCTGCATAAGTTAAGCACTCCACATCTCACACTCCTCCCTTATGATACTTGCCTTGGTGCCTAGCTCCCAACTTACTTGCAGCCAAGGCAAATTTTGCAACCTGTGCACTAATAAATACTAGATATAGGTAGGTAGCCGTGTTGGTCTGCCGTAGTCGGGGGGGGGGGAATCCTTCCAGTAGCACCTTAGAGACCAACTAAATTTATTATTGGTATGAGCTTTCGTGTGCATGCACACTTCTTCAGATATACTGAAACAGAAGTCACCAGACCCTTATATAAAGTGAGAGGGTGCAGAGGGGTATTACTCAGACGGGTGGTGGGAATGGATGATTGGCTGATAGGTGTGGTAAACCAGTTGATGACTGTTAACGACTGCAGTTGGTCTTACAGGAAAAAGCAAGGGATGAGATGGCCAAAAATAGCTTTATCATGTATAATGAGATAAGAATCCAATGTCTCTATTCAGACCAGATCTCTCCATGGTTTTAAGTTTGGTAAGGTTCAAAATTGGGAAAGGAGTACGACAAGGCTGTATATTGTCTCCCTGCTTATTTAACTTATATGCAGAATTCATCATGCGAAAGGCTGGGCTGGATGAATCCCTAGCCGGAATTAAGATTGCCGGAAGAAATATCAACAACCTCAGATATGCAGATGACACAACCTTGATGGCAGAAAGTGAGGAGGAATTAAAGAACCTTTTATTGAGGGTGAAAGAGGAGAGTGCAAAATATGGTCTGAAGCTCAACATCAAAAAAACGAAGATCATGGCCACTGGTCCCATCACCTCCTGGCAAATAGAAGGGGAAGAAATGGAGGCAGTGAGAGATTTTACTTTCTTGGGCTCCATGATCACTGCAGATGGTGACAGCAGCCATGAAATTAAAAGACGCCTGCTTCTTGTGAGAAAAGCAATGAGAAACCTAGACAGCATCTTAAAAAGTAGAGACATCACCTTGCCAACAAAGGTCCATATAGTAAAAGCTATGGTTTTCCCAGTAGTGATGTATGGAAGTGAGAGCTGGACCATAAAGAAGGCTGATCGCCGAAGAATTGATGCTTTTGAATTATGGTGCTGGAGGAGACTCTTGAGAGTCCCATGGACTGCAAGAAGATCAAACGTATCCATTCTTAAGGAAATCAGCCCTGAGTGCTCACTGGAAGGACAGATCGTGAAGCTGAGGCTCCAATACTTTGGCCACCTCATGAGAAGAGAAGACTCCCTGGAAAAGACCCTGATGTTGGGAAAGATGGAGGGCACAAGGAGAAGAGGACGACAGAGGACGAGATGGTTGGATAGTCTTCTCGAAGCTACCAGCATGAGTTTGACCAAACTGTGGGAGGCAGTGGAAGACAGAAGTGCCTGGCGTGCAATGGTCCATGGAGTCACGAAGAGTCAGACACGACTAAACGACTAAACAACAACAACAACAATGTTTGGATTCTTATCTCATTATACATGATATCAAGAAACTGCTAAACACACCTTCAGGTTGCTTGTTCCACTCACCCTATCCCTGCAGCAGAGGGATGAAAACACCTCTGGCTCCCCAGATATGCTGAACTACAACTCCCATCAGCCTCAGCAAATAAAGCCAATGGCCAGCAGTGAAGGGAGTTGTCCTTCAGCAACATCCAGAGGCCAAAGGTTCTTCACATCTGCAAAATCCAGAGGTTTGCACACACACATGCAAGCACAAGGCGTCCCAGCTGAGGGACACGTTCCAGCCAAGCAAAAATTGCTTGAAGAAGGAGCAGTACCAGTGAGTGATCTGGCTTGGGGAGATGATATTGCCAAGCAACTATCCCAGTGACCAGAGAGAGATGCCTCCAGTACTGTGTTGGATGCCTTGGCCCACGGTTCCCCATCTCTGATATACCTAGTGAACTAACCATAAACGGCTTTAGATGGTTTACTTTTAGAATTAACGTGGTTCCTGTAGATTAGCTGTGACGCAAAGATACTCAGCCACATTTACAATCTGGACAGGCATCGCCCTGCCCATTCTCAGATACTTAAAGTCCTATGCATGGTTCGTGATAGGAAGCAAGTCCTGTGGTTTTCAGGACATAATGGTCTCTTTTTTATATGAAATATTTTTATTGGTTTTTACAAATACAAATTTATAGCAAAATTATTTAAATAACCATTCTCTGAGGTTCTCTGAATCTCCAGACTTCCTCTCGTCCCCTAAATGGGTCCTTATGCCAATATTTACAACTACATATCAGTCCATTTTCCATAGTTTTTGTACTCACGAATTATCTATAATTTTCGTTACTTTACTAATGAATCTTAATAGTCCAGATAAAGTTTTAATTTGTTTACAATGGTCTCCTAAATAAATTATAAAAAATTTCCCATTCTTTTTTAAAGTCCTTGTCTTCTTGATTCCTGAGTCTCCCGGTTAGTTCAGGGCATAATGGTCTCTGATAAGTGTGGTTACGATTGCAGCAGTCATGCATGCTAGGACTGGGCAGAAGGTATATTGCGGGGAAATCTCTGGGTGAATTGAAGTAGATCTGCGAGGACTTTTTGAATTGAATTGAAGTAGATCGGCGAGGACTGTGAGAAAAGAACATTGTTCATGTACGGAATAACGGTGGCCAAAATTTTAGTAGCAAGAAATTGGAAAAACACAACAATATCCAACACGGAAGATTGGCAGATCCTAATGGTAGAATATCTGCAGCTAGCGAAAGCGACAGGAAGAGTAAGAGACCAACTGAAACAAAAAGTCTATAAGGATTGAGGAATCTTTAAAGAATATTTAGAAAACTATGGAATAAAAGGAAACATCTTGGCAGAATTAGACTGATCCCTGTATTGTATAAATATAAGTTCGTAGGGAGGTAAAAAGAAATTATATAAGAAATATGTAACTGTGGAGTAATGGATAGATAAAGTAATGGATAGATAAAGTACAGCGAGATTAATTGGAAGTCAGATTTTAATTTCTTCTCTATAAGTTTTATAATTGTGTTCAGTATCAGGAGTATATATGATGATAATTATATTAATCTTCTTGTATCTTATAGTGTGGTGGTTTGTTTGATTTTTCTGTTATTTGTTTGTTTGATTGTTTGATTGTTTATTTGTATGTACGTCTGTTTTCTCATAAATGTATTTTAAATTAATAAAGATATATATTTTTAAAAATAAAATGAAGTAGATCTTCGAGGACTTCTGACTTTGAGTTAACGATGGTGACAACTAAAAGACTCCCCGCCCTCCCACACTTATGCTGCTAAAATGAAGAAAATTGGGGTGGGGGAGTTGTAACCGAAAGTGGAGGCAGGTCTACTCAGAAGTAAGTTTCGGTGAGTTCAATGGGACTTGCACCCAGGCATGTGGGTATAGGTCTACAGCCTTTCTCTCCAGAGAGTTAGGAATGTGGTGGAAGCAGGTTCCTCGGTTTCGTTTTTGTCGGGTTGGTGTTGGTTAAATGTTCCCAGGTGTCAAAAAAAAAGGTCATTTATGTATGCTACTATCTTAGGTACTCACCAAAGACTGAGATGAGAATCAGGCTGCAAGAGATGGAGGGAGTCAGGAAAATCACCGTGAGAGCCATTGCTCTGCTGGGAGGCTGTGACTTTTGGTGCAAAAGCTGAAACTCTACTGAGACTAGGCAGGGCTGTTTTTTATCTCGTACGTGAGCTAAAACAAACAGCCGAGACGTAAGCTCTGAACCACCCTCAAGCACAAGAGCCTCCCGTGATGCGAAAGGGTGGAGAGGTTTCTCCGTAGTGCTGGCTGCAGCCTAGGGGCCGTTCACACAAAGGATGGAGGAAAAATTCAAATCAGTAGGTGAACCTACCTAGTGCTTTTATTTTCTAGAAAAATAGGTGCCGGTACTCACCGTGAAGTTGTTACAGTAACTGCCACACTTTATAACAACAACAAAAAGAGGTACTGCTACTGTGTGCATTTGAGTACCCCCGGAAAAAAGCACTACCGAAACTGTGCTTTCCCAAGCAATATGTGAACTGAAACACATTCTTCAATATCTACACTTCTCTGAATTTTGCAGTACAGCCAAGGACTATGCGCAAAAACGAATATAGTGTGCCTTTAAAAGCAAACTTTATATCAGTGAAAATAACACAAAAAATGCATCATATTAGGGGAAAATGCTTTGCCAAAACATTGTATATTAGGAGACATTTGCTGGTGAATTTTCACGATGACTTTATATATATATATATGTGTGTGTGTGTGTGTGTGTGTGTGTGTGTGTGTGTGGATAAATACAACCGGATGTGGAAAGGTGGAGAAATGAACTTGAAATTGGAAATGGACAGATTTATCCATCTCCAGTTCACAAAATAAGAAATACACAGTGGGAGCTCACTCATTACGGTATATTGCTATTGCAAACCTTAATTTCCTTTATTAGTTGCCTATTACAAAAGGTCTCTAGGAGCAAAGTGAAGTGGTTTTGTTTTCCAATTCCAAGTATCTTGCTGGCACAACTACACACATCTTCACTATTTAATTTGCATTCTCTCTCTCTCTCTCTCTCTCTCTGTATGTGTGTGTGTGTGTGTGTTTAGGTTAATTGTTATTAGAATTTTTTTATGCCAATCTTTTGATTATTTCATTTTCAAAGAACAAGTTGTCATGCAGACATGGGAAAGCAAGGTGCAAAATGTTTAAAATGTACTGACGCGGCAAGGGAAATGCAGACATCGCTCAATAACTTTCAAGAGTTTACCCAGTACACCCAGCGTTACATAAATCTGACCCCACATTTTGGTCGGAGACTGTTGGAATCCAGATGATTTAAAACACACACACACACACACACACACACACACACACACACACACCTGTGATTGGGCCAGGTGTGTGCACTCAGTTTAGTCCTTATGGGAATCTTCCAGAGTCCAAGTAGCTACATCCTCCTCTGTGATGGACAAGAGGTAACCTAGGAAGAGAAATATCATGGGCTCTTGTACCTCTCACCCAAACTAACAGTGAAAAATTGGGATATGACTTCTCTTTAAGGGAAAAGTAACAGATGTACAAGAGGCAGAAAGAGATAGGAGTTGCTGCACTCTGGAAAGACAAGACTCACCACTTTCACGTTATACAGGGCAAATTGGTTCTCCTAGTTGCCATTTGAAGTTATATGTGCAGGGCTCAGATTGGCTTGTGCTTGTGACGTCATGAGACATGGAGCTTTGCAACAATTTAAAACTTTACTCCGATCCTACCCTCAGACCTCCTCCCCAATAAGGCAACAAATGAAATCCTGATTTTCAGCTTGGTGACATTTAAATCCTGACATTTCAGCTTGGTGGCACCAGCTGCCTCCTTCATGGCCACTGTCCTGCAGCTTGGTTTGACTATCTGAATGCACACTGCCTTTGAAGAACAGTCAGAAAGCAATTACAGGATGCTGTGGTCCAAGGGCAGATGTTTTCTTGAGGATGTTCTATTATTATTTTAGTTCCATTGGCTCTTGGCCTGGTTCCGAGTCTAATTCAAAGCGCACTTTGAAAGCCTTAAATCAAGGATGGGGAACTTGTGGTCCTCCAGATCTTGTTGGACGACAACTCCCATCAGCCCCAACCAACAGGAACGAGGAGAGCTGTGGTCTAGCAAGAGCTGGAGCACCACAAGTTCCTGATCCCTCTCCTAAATCATTTGGGAACCATCTGCTCCCACATGACCCTACCTGTCTGCTGTGGTATTTTGGATCTGCTCTGCATCCTGTCACCGCCAGAAGCATCATTGCTGAAAACATGGATCAGGACTTCTTGGGCTGCAGCACCCAGACTGTGAAACTTCCTCCCCTGGAAGGTCCTTCTGGCCTTGTCCTTGTCAGCCTTGTGGTATCTAGATGTCAGGGCTGGACCATGGCTGGGAGCTAGACATGAGTCAGGAGGTATGGGACAAACCAGTAGTCAGGAAGCAGGAGCAAGACAGCTGTCAGGACTAAAGGACAGCAAGGATACAGGAACGTACCAGAGCTCAGGAAGAAGTTGTTGCTTGAACGAGGAAGTCATCTTCTGCTCCAAAGATCAATGGCCAATCTGAATGAGTGGATTCAGGAGGCTGCCACCAGCAACTCAGTTCTGCTTCCCCTGTCCAGTTTGGCAACATGCAGATGTTCCTTTGTGTGCAAGTGTGTCGTGGGGCTGTTTAAAAGCCCTTTTGCAAACACCCCTGTGCTGCTCTTTAAACCTTGCAGAAGCTGACCGCCCCACTTTTCAACCACACTGGACCACTCTGGCTAGACTGATCAGATCCAGGGTTGTCTCTCAAACCAGTGCAGCTGGCAAACTAGATCCAGTGTGCATCCCTAATATTTTCCTCCTGTTTAATCTGGAGTTTCACTTCCCAGAAAAATCCATTGTTGAGGGGGACCCCCCAGAAAGCCTCTTGGCAGCACCTGATTTCAATGTTTGAATGACCTGCTTACAATATTAAGTCCCCACCCTTGCAGTGAAGTTATTAAACTGAATCATCCATTTGCATGCTCCTGAACTTAACTAGATGGCTGTTCGACTCCTACGCATAAATGTAGGCTTCAGTGATACATCTGGGTTTTTTTTTAATTGGAAGCAACAGAAAGTTCCATTTATTGACTCTGCAAAGGAAATACAGATCAGACTGGGAGATTAATTATTAACAGAGCTGTCAAAAGAATCGGGCGGCACCTTCCCAGCACAAACACTATTCTCCAGATAAGCTGAGAACAGGGTTGAGGACACCTTTCGCCGTGATTCCTAACATGGGGCCCACCCCCACAGGGGGGCAATTTAATTTTTAAGGGGGGCAATTTGATAATGTTTAGACCAAGTTAATGGCCTTTTAGGCTTCCTCCATGTCAATAGGAGTTCACTTTTTGAATAATAAGGATTTCATGTCACCGGGGTGTGTGTGTGTCAGGATTTTAGGATTTTTGAGATGCTTAGGTGGGGCATGGCCAAAAAAAGGTTGGGAACCACTTCCTAGCACATCTGACCAAATTTCTCCACAGAGCACAAAATATGCTACCCGGACATTTAGCTGTTGCAGGATTGGCTGTTTGTGGTGAAATAAAAAGTTAAGGTCATATATATATATATATATATATGAATATAAGATAAATGTTCATGGATTTGCCAGGCAAACACGTACATAAATGTATGGGCCACATGTTTGAGGCAACACAGGAGGACAGTCCTGGAGCCATTTGGGCTCCCAAACTGACCAAATGTTTTCTCTGCAAGGTCAAAGGAAAATGGAAAACCTGTCTTAAGGGTATATCTGTGTATGAATAGTGTGTATGAATAGTGTGAGCCTGTGACCTGGCCCAGGAACTAAGTATTTGTCACTATAAAAGACTGGCCAGGCTTCCCAGGGTATCCAATCAAGTAAACATTAACAGGTAACCTGTCAGACAGGAGATAAACAATGCACTCAGATTTCTGTTGTAGACCGCCCTTTCTGTGATGTAGGTATGATGTGTCTAGGGGGTGGTCTTGAACTCCAGGGCGGGCAATTTAAAATGTCTATATAAGGGCAGGCACACCTTGGTTCTGGGTCCTCCTCCTTTCCTGCGTGTGAGGAAAACCCTGTTGCAACAGTTCAATAAAGATCAGGCTTACTAGCTGCTTTGCTTCTCAATATTCTCTGTTTGGCCTCTGTTATTTTCTCCGACTGATGGAGAACCTGCAAAGGACTCTGTAAGGGCTCTTGTGTCCCCCATAAGGGAATAAAGGCACATTTTCATTTATTACAGTGGGCATGGGTGCAACATGAAACTTGACTTGACACATTTTGGCGTCATACCTAAGGTTATGAGTTCGAATCTGTGACATCTGGATCAGGTGGCATTGTGAAAGTCCTGAACCTGCGACTGGACTCAGGTAATGAGCTGGATGACAGCCAAAAACCTGAATCCCAGTGAGATAGAGGCTCTGGATTCGAGTGTGCCCAGGTCAGGGAAACTGTCCATTTGCTTGTTCTATATGGGGTTGCGCTCACTCTGAAAGAACAGGGGGGCAGCTTTGGGGTTGCTCCTTGATTCAGCATTGCCTCTGGAGGCTGAAGGTCTTATGTGTGTCCAGAAGTACCTGCTGTCAGCTTTGGCTGGTATGCCAGTCACAATTGTGATCTAAGCCCTAGTAGCTTCTGGACCCAATAACTGCAATGTGCTGGGGCTTCCTTTGGTTAGGAATCTGCAGCTGGAATAAAACTCTCCTGTGTGGCTGTTCTCTGGGGCAACCTATGGACAACTTATGACACCCCTGTTAAAAGTGTTGTAAAAGGTAAAAAAAAGTAATGAGCCCTGGACGGTTAAGTCCAGTCAAAGGCGATTATGGGGTTGCGGTGCTCATCTCACTTTCAGGCTAAGGGAGCCGGCGTTTGTCTGTAGACAGCTTTCCGGGTCATGTGGCCAGCAGGACTAAACCACTTCTGGTGCAATGGGACACTGTGACGGAAACCAGAGCGCACGGGAATGCTGTTTACCTTCCCACCGCAATGGTATCTATTTATCTACTTGCACTGGTATGCTTTTGAACTGCTAGGTTGGCAGAAGCTGGGACAGAGCAACAGGAGCTCGCCCCATTGTCGGGATTTGAACTGCCGACCTTCTGATCGGCAAGCGCAAGAGGCTCAGGGGTTTAGACCACAGTCCCACCAGTGTCACAGCTGCCAGTTTGCTACTGTGCTAGATTCAAAGTTTTGCTACAGGTATATAAAACCCTGTGCAGTTCCAGACCAGGGCATTTGAGAAGCTCTCTCTCCAGCTAAATCCCAACCTGGTCACATACACTTTTAGCAACATTGTGCCAACAATGTTAGATTGTCGATATTTGTTGAAAACCTTTCTTTTCACCTAAGCCTTCCCAAATCCATCTTTTTTATTCCTGCTGTTTTTAATACCTGCCAGTTTTTCTGTTTTACTACCATTCTAGGATCTTTAAGCTATTCATTGATAGTTTAGTTAGTTTTGCAGTTTGCTCAGCTGGGTTCAGAATTATTTTCCATTGCCCTCTTAAAGTATGGTTTCTTATGGAAATCATATGGTTGCAGTTTTATGTCAGACACCTTGCAAGGTCATTTACCCTGAATATTTAAAATAAATACATACAGTAAGAATAATGAATAAAGCAATCTGCTTCAAGGTGGAACTGCTTTCATACACAACAGGCCACAGAAACAAACACTTTCCCCAAAGTTTTTTTTTAAAATATAAAAAACAAATACTTTTATTTATGAAAAATAATATGTTTTTCAAACTGTACATAAAAATATTTCAGTGCCATCCTAGCTTCTCATGTAACAGAAGGGTCTCATTGCCATTAAAAAAAATTAGCCAGCATGAAAATGGTTAGAGGACTTTAGCCAGGATTCACAGACCTGTTGATATCTATAAGTATAAATTATGTGCTAGATCTACTTTTATAAAAAAAGGAAGAAACAGAAGATCAAAAGTCCATTGAATAAACATAATTGCACAATATGTATTAAAATACTGAAGGCGCCCTTAGAGAATCCATTGTTAGGATATTCTGATATAAGGTTACATACAGGTTAGTTGCAGAAGCTTTTGGGAAGGGCAGGAAGAAGAAACATCTTATTATTGAAAATCCCCAAGGCGGAATTGTTGACCGAGTACAGTTCCTCTGTGCATCACAAGGGGGCAGAAGAAACCAGCCAAATATTCCCTGTTCCTAAAGCCAAAACTGCGAGGATTCATCCAAAACTGGGCTTCAAGTTATTGTGGGAGTTTTTTTTAGGAGACGGGAGAGGCTCAGTGACACAAGGAAGCTGTTTAGAAGGGAAAGTCTATTCAGGGGTTACTCAGAGAAAACAAAGAGAAATTGCAGGGTAGGTCCAATGTCTGCACTACAGACACTCCCCACTCTTCCCAGCATTTGCAAATCAATTTTGAAATAGCTTTAAAAAATAAAATAAAAAACTATTTGCAGTTGTAAAACTTGCATTTCTTTCCTTATTTAAAAATAGCAGTAAAAGTTGGTCACCTAAATGGCAACGAACAGAAAAGCCAAGGGAACCCTCCCTCCCTTTGCTGGCCACTTTTGTGCAGGGGGATTCCTGCTCAGTGACAAAGCAAATCACAGACTCTCTGCCTAACCTGCCTGGTCTCCCCTCCCAGGGACTCTTGATAGCAAACAGAAAGTGATCCAGTTTGCACATCAACATTCATATCTGAGTAACTGCGAACTGCAGGTGGCCAAAGGGCTCTTGCTATTTTGAGTGGCACCTACACTAGCCAACCAGGTTGGAATACTATGAAGGACACCCCATTTCATTCCCCCATTCCAGATAATAATAATAAAAGCAATTTCAGAACAGAGACTGGACTACCGAAGCTCTTTGTTCAGGGCTGGGTGTGCTCTGTGCCGAGATAATACAAATTCTGCAGCAAGAGACAAGCTGCGAACACTCTGCAAACCAAACTAATGTGCATACATTTCCTTTGCTTGCATAACTCATTCTGCTTCAGTCAAGTTATGGAAAGTGGCCAATGATCTAAAGGTGCACCAGACACTGGATATCCTACAGAGCCCTTCTCTGACTCTGAAGAATCTCCCATGGTCTAGAAACTTGAAAAAAGGAGAGGTGTCGTTCTGCAGCTTTCCTGTGCTAACTCAAGTTCAGAGAACACACACACCCCTCTTCCCTTTAACCTAAACTGCAATCAGTGGCGTAGCGTGGGGGGTGCAGGGGGGCCAGCCGCACCGGGCGCAACATCTGGGGTTAGGGCAAATCCACGGGTTAGGGGGCGCAAATCCACGGGTTAGGGGGCGCAAATTACTTGCCTTGCCCTGGGTGCTCACAACCCACGCTACGCCGCTGACTGCAATATTTCTTTGCCATCTCCTCCAGAGCACCCAATGCCCTCCAATCCTTTTGGGCTACTCCCAGGAAAGGCAGGTCAAGGAAGCACCTCACTCTGGCTGCAGGTTTCAGATCTGCCCTGGCATGTTTTTCCCCAAGTCAAGATAGCCGATCCCAGCACAGCTGCTTCCTCCAATAAGAGAGAGAGAGAAAGGAATGAATCACATCCTGCAAAGCAAAGATCCACTGGTATTTGTTCGAGTAGATACAGCCTCTGCTGTTAAGAGGCCTCTTGGACACGACTCGGGCACCAAGAGGAAGAGTTCTGAAAGGTGTTACAAAAAGCCCGTCTCACAAGTCTTTGCAAAGTCTCATTGATGGCGGTTCCTTGAAAACTGCTCCTTCGAAGGACACACCCGCAAAACCTCGCCCAGGAGCTCTGAAGGCAGGCAGGCATCCCAGAGCCAGTGCTTCCAGCCACTCTGCATTGCATGGGATTGCTAGAACCACTAGGGGGCGCCGCCAAGCCCTTACACCAAGGATCCTGCTTGGCTCTGAGCAGGCACCATGACGGGTACGCCCCCCATGCGGCTCAGGGTGGAGGAGGTGAGCCCTTGGGTGGGGGCGGCAGGCTCGTGTAGTCGGGGGGCCTGTGGCTGAGCCCCGTTTGTCCTGTGGAGGGTGTTCCTATGGATTGGCACATTGGCATGGTGGCAATGGACCCCGTTTGCCATCGGCGGGAAGTAGAGGGGCAAGGACTGGCTGGAGAGGCTGGGCGTCGGCGTGTGGGTCCCGCCGCGGTGGTTGCTGAAAGGGGGTTTGTAGCCCACTGTGCTCCCAGTGGCTGTGGTGATGGAGGCCGTGTCTGAGGGCGGCTTGGACGGGTAGAGTTTGTGATCCCGGGTCGTGTTCATGGAGGACAAGGTGCCGTTTTTGGAGACGATATCAGAGCCAGGACTTTTCGCCCAGGAAAGAGTCTTTGGGGCAACAGCATCTTCCCTGAGAAGGTGAGGAAGGGGAGAGAAAAAAACGAACTAGTGAGGGGAAAGAAGTAAGAGGAAGAACCTGTCCATTTTGGTTTCCTGTTTCTGTTATGAAACAGGTGGTGCAACCTGATCCTAGGGCTAGCTTTTATTAAATCTGTTTATAGGTAAAGGTAAAGGGACCCCTGACCATTAGGTCCAGTTGCGGACGACTCTGGGGTTGCGGCGCTCATCTTGCTTTATTGGCCGAGGGAGCCAGTGTACAGCTTCCGGGTCATGTGGCCAGCATGACTAAGCCGCTTCTGGCGAACCAGAGCAACGCATCGAAATGCCGTTTACCTTCCCGCCAGAGACCTATTGATCTACTTGCACTTTGATGTGCTTTCAAACTGCTAGGTTAGCAGGAGCTGGGACCGAGCAATGGGAGCTCACCCCGTAGCGGGGATTCGAACTGCCGACCTTCTGATCAGCAAGCCCTAGGCTCTGTGGTTTTATCCCACAGCATCACCCGCGTCCCAAATCTGTTTATAGATGACCACAATAATTTACTGTTTAGGAGCTACCAATCTTTTTTATGTCTGCAGGTGAAAATATGTTAACACAGTACTGGAAAACAACTACTAGCTTAACTCTAGAGGTATGGTGGCCTAGACTATGGAACAGCTATTGTGGATATGAATGTAAGAATATCAAATGGAAATCAACAATGCATTGTACCCGAATGAATCTCAGGGAAGGGAGAAATAAGGGACAATTTCCTCCATTCCCTGAGATTCATTCAGGTATAATGCGTTGTCCATTTCTGTTTGATATTATTGCACTTGTTTCTTTCATAGACAGCAATCTGTTCACCAGTCTTCTGCTGTTGCGTTTAAAAGAAGTATTTCCAAACAGATTTTAGCCTCTTTAGTCATGTCTGGTCCCAACTTGCCTGCCTTGTGGGGCAATTTAAGAACCTCCTTTTCACTCACTTGATCTCATTGGCAATCTCCTCCTGTGATTCTTTCATTTTCCTTCTGTAGAAGAGCATCTGGAGTGGAAACAAAATGATCAGGCCAAGTCCAATGAGGGCTCCTATGACGGCACCAGCCACCATGGCTCCATTGATCGCTGCAAAGGGAGTCACAGCAGAGAGAAAACAGAAAACGGTAATAAGGGGGGGAAGAGAAATCCGATAGGAACATAAAGAAGGGCCCTGCTGGACCAGAGAAGTGGCCCATCTAGTCCAGCATCGTGTCCTCACAGGGGCCAATGAGATGCCTATGAAAAGCCCGCAAGCAGGAACTGAGCACAAGAGCGATCTCCCCTCTTGTGGTTTCCAGCAACTGGTCTTGAGAAGCATTACTTCCTCTGACAGTGGAGATACAACACAGCCATTGAGGATAGTTGTCGGGCAGCAGAGGAACCAACCCCCACAGCAGGTTGCCAGGAATGGACAAGGCAAGGAAAAGTCCTTAGCATCTCCTTTTTATTCAATATTTACAGAGAGAAGCTTGGGAATGCAGCCTCTCAGAATAATGGCATTGTCCCGAGTGAATCTCCACCCCCTCCATCTCTCCCACTTCCTCTTGAGTCATCGCCATGGGTGCTGAAATGTGCCCTCTTCCTTTGAGCTCTTTTCTCTCCTACTTTCAAGGATCACCGAGTTCTGGGATAGGAGGGTCTGGAGTACTTTCTAAAGACACTGTGTCTGCCAGCTGTCACCCTCCTGGTGCTTCCTCCTCCTCCTCCTCCTCTCACATTATTTCCCAGCTTTACCCCTCATCTGTGACCTCCCTCAAACCCCTGTTGTAATTCTGAACTGTCTTCTTCTCTGGAAGGGTCAAGCTAGGGAGGTGGTCTCCACCATTCCTCCTCTGCCCAGGCCCTGACATCAGTAGAGACTCAGCTACGCCTGTCAATTATAACGTTCAAAATGTGTTATAAAAATGTGACACCAGATAGCGCTATAGAGCAGCAATCTATCGTCAACGGTAAATTGCATTGGGAGCTATATAGTGTTTTGATAGCGTTTTTCATATCGGTGTAGATCCAGCCTTGATCTGGCCCCAGAATGCAGCACAGGCCCTCTTCTCCTTTCCTAGTCATGTCAAAAATGTGCAGAGGGAAAAGAATCTGGGTATGGGAGGGTTAAGAACCCTTGATGCTTTCATTTCCGTGCAAAGGGTTCACTGGCAGCTCTGTAGGGTGAAACCAAGATTGCACTCACGTGGATACACCTCCAGGGCGATGGTGCAGCTGGAAGAGCCAGCATCGCTAGAAGCATTGCAGAAATAGGTTCCGGACATACCCGCCGTGAGGTTGTTTAGCCTCAGAATCCCCCTCTTGCGGTCTGCAAAAATTACAACAGAAACAAGGCTTCAGAGCAGCAGCTAATTTCGGCTGGGATCTGGTCTTTTCATCCAGCGATACTTTCCTAAAAGCATGGAATGAGCTCTGCTGGGTTAGGCCAAAGGCTTATCCAGACCAACTTCCTGTTTTTGTACAGTGTGAGATGCCTCTGTAAAGAACACAAGCAGGGCAGGAGCACAACACCCACTTGCTCCTGCCTGCGAATCCCGGAAACTGTTATTCAAAGGCATACTGCCTCAGCTGTCACAACCAGTAGCCATGGATAGCCTTATTCTCCAGGGACAGATCTACACCCGTTGTTTATAACGTTAAAATGCATTATTAAAATGAGACACCAGAGGGCGATGCAGAGTGGAGAACCACCGACAAAGGGAAAATGCCACTGAACCTTATAGAACGTTCAATTTAATAACGTTTAGAAGATCAATGTAGATCCAGCCCAGCTGTACACAGGCTGTGTTTGCGCATAAAGCCAAACCATCATTTGTCAATTCAGAGACAAAGCTGAACCCCTCCTGTACTTCAAATGTCTTTACGTCTAAGTTAGGCTTGGGGAACCTGACTCCAGCTCCCATCAGCCTCAGCTAGCTTGGCCAATGATCAGGCATGATGGGAGTTGTAGTCCAACAATATCTGGAGGACCACAGGTTCTCCCTCAAGCCTGGTCCTTAAATGTAGTCTATGTCTTCATCTGTGCAAGAGGTACTAACTCTCTGTGAACTGCTTTGCGGTTTGTTTACAATTAAGCAGTGAACCAATTTTATGAAATAAACAAAATTTATTAATTAATGACCACTTGAGCCCTTATAGTCCATCTACAAGCGCTGAGATCCTCCGATGGGGCACTTCTGGTGGTTCCCCCCACCCCTGATGTTTGGTTGGCCTTCACTAAGGACAGAAGTGGTAGACCCTGCCCTGTGGAACTCCCTGCCAGTTGAGATTCATCAGGAACTGTCCCTCCCTCCTTGCAACGCCTTTTAAATATTGCCGTGCTTAAGACAAGCCTTCACAATATGAGTTTTTCTTTAAACCAAGCAGTATCTACTGATGTTTTATTATAGAACCATGGAATTGTAGAGTTGGAAGTGACGACGAGGATCACCCTTGCAGTGCACGAATCTTTTGCCCAATCCACGACCCTGAGATTAAGCGTCTCAGGCTGATATTTCAAATTCCGTCTTCTAGATATTTAAGGACCAGCTGTATTTGTTTTATATGTTGTAGGCTAGGTTGTTAAATTTTATGAAAGAGTGGATTATAAATATTTTTAAAACTCATTAAGAAATTTGCAGAATGCTAGTGCACGACTAAAGGGACGCGGGTGGCACTGTGGGTTAAACCACAGAGCCTAGGGCTTGCCGATCAGAAGGTCGGCGGTTTGAATCCTTGCGACGGGGTGAGCTCCCATTGCTCAGTCCCTGCTCCTGCCAACCTAGCAGTTCGAAAGCACGTCAAAGTGCAAGTAGATAAATAGGTACCGCTCCAGCGGGAAGGTAAATGGTGTTTCCGTGCGCTGCTCTGGTACGCCAGAAGCGGCTTAGTCATGCTGGCCACATGACCCGGAAGCTGTACGCCGGCTCCCTCGGCCAATAAAGCAAGATGAGCGCCGCAACCCCAGAGTCAGCCACAACTGGACCTAATGGTCAGGGGTCCCTTTACCTTTACCTTTAGTGCACAACTAAACACCAAAAAATTGCATGGGCTCCCCAAACCCTCTGCACCTCAGTCCTCTCTTCTGAGGTAAGCCTACCCAGTTCCCCCAAGCTTTCCTTACAGGACCTGCTTTGCACATCCTCAGCCATCTTTGTGACCCTCCTCTGATCTGTTCCCACATGGACATATTTATTTCCTACCTTGCACAGGTTCAAAGAAAACTTGATCGGTGGGTCCAGTGCGTCTCCAGTTGTACTTAGGGATAGGCTTGCCAAAAGTAGAATTGCAGGTAGGGTAATGTTCCCCCCGACACGAGGGCTTCCATGAATCTGACACTTTGGCTGGGATGGAGGAACTGTAAAAGCAAATAACGAGGCTTAAAAATCTGTATCAAGTGGCCCATAGCTAATGAAGGTGAATAAGATGGAAAATTATAACATTGCCATCTTCTGGCCACAAACAAGGCTGCAGCTGGTTCTGAATAAGGAGAGGGAGAAATCCATTCAGTTTGCATTTTAATGCAAGCCTATCTAATTTGGTGCCTCCCATGCACTGAAATGCAAATATCATTTGAAATTCACACTTGCCCCATTTCCGCAGTGCAGATCTCCAACAACTAAAATGGGTACTGAAAAAGCATGTAGAGTCGTACCTTGGAAGTCGAACGGAATCTGTTCCAGAAGTCCGTTCAACTTCCAAAATGTTCGGAAACCAAAGTGTGGTTTCTGCAGCCAATCAGAAGTCCCGTTGGACATTCGGCTTCCAAAAATAGTTCGCAAACCGGAACAGTCACTTCCGGGTTTGTGGCGTTCAGAAGGCAAAACATTCGAGAACTAAGTTGTTCAAAAACCAAGGTACGACTGTATTAGGGGAAAGTGTCCACCAAACAACACATACTTTAGTGAAAATAATGTGCACAAAATCTTTTATATGCAGGAAAATTGCATGCAAATATGCAAATATTAGAATATATGCACACAAAGGCACATGTGCATTTTCATGAGGGCATTAGAAAAATGGGGGAAAGTTCACAGGATTAGGGTGTGAGCAACTGAAATTGACAGATTTGTCAATCCCAAATTCTGGTAGCATTGGCAATCATTGTAGGGCTGTGTCCACATCAGCTGCCTCTCTTGAAATCCTGACTGCTTTGATTCTTAATGCCTTGGTTCATATTGCCCTAGTGACACTACAGGGGATAAACCTTGTTGCTACGTTTTTGTTTTAAAAATATTTTCAAAATTTGTCTTTGTAAGATGTTACCACCCAGCGGAGAAGAAAAATCTACACCCAACCATTAAGCACATTTGTGATATGAAATTTGTGATGCAGAATTTTCTTAGGAACTCAATCTGGTGTACTAAAACGAGGGCTGTAAGTAGCTGCTTGCCTAGTGCCCTCGGGACAGCAGGAAATACCTCTAACCTCAGGTTCCCCCCCAACCCATAGAAAGCCAAGGCTCAACTCACCTAGGACTGTAAGGTTGATGAGTCCAATGTTTTGCTCGCTCCCACTGTTGAGGAGGTTCACTGTGCACATGTACTGCCCTGAGTCGGCTTCTTTGGTATTATTAATTGCAATGGAGACATTACTGAAAGGCATGGGATAGAGGAAGCTGAGCCGACGGTTGAAATCCGAATCTACCACTTTTGTCCCGCCGGTCATGTACACCATGATCTGAAAGGCAGAAAAGACAGGAAAGGGATTTAATACAACAGCATTGCCAAAATAGGAAAACAAAGAATTCAGAGTGACTAAACGCAACAACAACAACAACAACAACATTATTTGTATACTGCCCTTCATCCAAACATCACAGGGCGCTTCACAACAAAATGATAAGACAAAATACATAATCAAAACAAGAACAAACCAAAAACTCCCAATCCCATAAACTTAATGCTAGCAAAAGTAGCTTGACATTAAATGGATGTTGTTTTTATTAACAATATGTATATGCTGCCCAATAACAAAGCTGACTGCATTGAAGTGTTGGAAAAATTACCAGTACCTGGAAGATGTCACAAGAAGGAGAAATGTATATTGAAACAAATGCTGTGGTGCCACAGAAGGCGATTTGTTTTATAAAAGAACCGCAAGGAGGCTGATCTATCTTCTTAGGCCAGTGGTTTTCAACCAGTGTGCCGTGGCACCCTGGGGTGCCTTGAATGATGGCAGGGGTGCTGGGGTCAACACTGGCCTCAATCCCTTTTTCTTTCCCTCCCTTCTCTGATGCCTTCTTGCATCTCTGGCTCCCAAAGGCTTGCACACAAGGGGTTGTAGTCAATGCTAGTTCTACTCAGAGTAGACTCATTGAAATCAATGGCCTTAAGTTACTTAGGTTCTGTTATGAATTTGGGGTGGGGGGTGTCAGACCTGTCTAATCCCTGGATCCAGCAAGTCTTAAAAATCTACCGTATTTTTCACTCTATAAGACACCCTTTTTTCCCTCCTAAAAAGTAAGGGGAAATGTGTGTGTGTCTTATGGAGCGAATGTAGGCTGCACAGCTATCCCAGAAGCCAGAACAGTGAGAGGGATCGCTGCGCGGCGCTCCCTCTTGCTGTTCTAGCTTCCAGTTTAGCCGGGAACAGCCTCTTCAGGGCAGCAGGGAGCCTTCATCCCGCTGCCCTGAAGAGGCTGCACAGCTATCCCAGAAGCCAGAACAGCGAGAGGGATCGCTGTGCTCCCTCTCGCTGTTCTAGCTTCTGGCTTAGTCATGCTCTGTCCCTTCCCCCACCTCCCGCAAAAGCCCACAAGAGCTGAGCTCCCTTTGAAGAGCTGTGCGGAGCGTGTGTGCGGCTCTTGGGGCCTTTTCACCAAGGAGGGAGAAGGGCAACCCATCAGTGACGGGTCTGCCCTTCTTTCTCCTCGGGAAAAAGCCTGCAAGCGCCACACACACGCTCCATGCGGCTCGTGAAAGGCAGCGCAGAACAGAGTCTGGGGTGCATACAGGCTCTGCTCAGGGCTCCCTTTAAAGAAATTTTTTTTCTTGCATTCCCCCTCTAAAAACTAGGTGCGTCTTATGGTCAGGTGCGTCTTATGGAGCAAAAATATGGTAGTCGGACCTTCTAATTTCTGGTTCCAGCACAGATTCATTGCTGGAATAGCCAGCCTGGTAATGGCCCACTAAAGATGAGTTGTTAAGAGAACACAGGGAGTGGCTCTGTGCCAGAGGGCAAATGGGTGGGCCTGCCTCCCCGGTTGGTTGGTTGGTTGGTTAGTTAGTTAGTTAGTTAGTTTATTGAATTTATATACCGCCCTATACCCAGAGGTCTCAGGGCGGTTCACAGAAAATATCACAATATATAAAATCAAAATAAGAACAATAACCCAATAGCACTCTCCGCAAAAGAGCCACATTTTAAAAGGGTATAGGACAGGCGTCTGCAACCTTTAAGACAAAAAGAGCCACTTGGACCCATTTCCAAAGGAAAAAAAACTGGGATCCGCAAAACTCGTCATTATAAAAATAACTTTTTTGTCACTTTTTATTATTATTTCTTTGTTTGACCCCTCAGAATTACTCCTCCTCATAGAAATAAACATTAAATTAACAAGTTACCTTTTTGTGTGTGTGTGTTCTTCACTCCCCTTCAAAACAGTGAAGTACATGCCCCCTTTCAATGCAGTGACCAGCGTACATGCCCCTTACAATGTAGCGGGCGGGCAGGCAGGAAGGTGATGTCGGGACGGTGCGTGACTAACGCACGCACTGCCCCCATGCGACGTCACAGCCAGTACAGCACCCGCCACAGTGGGGAGTGTCGGGGCGCACAATGCGCCTCCTCCCCTCGCTAGTATCCGCCCCGGAACCGCGGCAAAGGTGTAAAAGAGCCACATGCGGCTCCGGAGCCGCGGGTTGCAGACCCCTGGTATAGGATGTCAATCAGGTCAACCAAAGGCCTGGTTAAAAAGGAACATTGCCTGGTGCCTAAAGGTGTATAATGAAGGCACCAGGTGAACTTCCCTGGGGAGAACATTTTACAGTTAGGGAGCCATTGCAGAGAAGGCCCATTCTCATGTTGCCACTCTTCGAACCTCTTGAGGAGGAGGGACGTGAAGGAGGGCCTCAGAAGATGATCTCAGGGTCTGGGTAGAGTCATATGGAAAGAGGCAGTCTTTGAGGTATTGCGGTCCTGAGCCGTTTAAGGCTTTATGGGTCAAAACCAGCACTTTGAATTGGGCCCAGAAACTAATCGGTAGCCAGTGTAGTCAGACTAGGATCGGTGAAATAGTTGAGAGTTTTGTAGTGGAGCAGGCAATGGTTGGTTTCTGTTTTGAATCCAAGGCTATGGCTATGGGAGAAGCAAGTCCTTCTTGGCATGTTAATGTTGTGAACCCCTAAAGCGGAGGCTCAGGTAGTATATATGTGTAAATGAACCATATATCATAAAGGCACCACAGTCTCCACTGTGCCTCATTCCAAAGAAATTAAGACTCTAGTTAAACACCTGGGACCTCTGGGATCTTGCATCGCTCAGAGATTGGGGTGGAGTGCAATAGTTCATTAATTTCAACGAGTCAGCTCATTGAACTTGGTATGTGAAAATGTACATCAATAAATGCATACCGCTGAAAAAAAAGATGCATATGTCACATAAAATCAAAATATTGCGATTGATTTTTCATCCTTGAACATTTTTGCTGCTGGCTACAATGAAAGCTACCATGGTGCTGTCGTATGTGCAGAAAGCTCCCCCCAAACCTCTACAATGTTTATTATTATTATTATTGCCAGTGATCCCTGATTTGTTGTTACTTTGGCATCATTTCCTGAATGTCAACAAGACAGGTTTTTTTCCCCACTCCTGGGAAATTCCAACAGGAATAGGAAATGGGAGCAGAAGTTGACACTGGTCACTTATTCCAGAACTGAAATCTGGAAAAGAACTCATGGTTGGAATGGAAATCAATCCAGTCTGTTGTTGTTGTCTTCAGTCCTCAAAAGCATGAAAATGGCAAGAGTCTCCCCCCCCACTTCATATAAATTGTGTCTCTGTTGCATTTAAACAAATGGTGTGGAAAGAATTATGGTATGTTAAATCCAAAATTTACACAACCAATTCTGTAAAATAGTGTGGGCAGTGAGATGAACTGCAAAGCATTTGATGGAACCTGAACTGCGGTGGAATGGAAACAGCGCTGCTTGTGGCAAAGCAAGACCAGAAAGGAAAACATGGCCCTCTTACATCCACACCTGTACTGCATGGTCCTCCACCAATCTGGTGCTCTCTAGAAATTGTGGTCCCCAACTCTGTTTAGGGAAGTTTTTGATGTTTGAAGTTTTATTCTGTTTTTAGTGCTCTGTTGGGAGCCACCCAGAATGTCTGGGGAAACCCAGCCAGATGGGCGGGCAGGGTATTCATCATCATCATCATCATATTATTATTATTATTATTATTATTATTATTATTATTACCAGTGCCAGTCAACATGGCCAAATATCACCTGTGATGAGAGATGCAGGACAACTCCACTCCCTGCTGAACTTCCACTGAAGACCTTTCTATTTCAGCTGGCATTTTAAATACTTTTTTTAAAATAGTTTATTATATCCGTCACAACCTTGCTGTACACTGCTTAGAGCAGAGCTTTCCAAACTTTTCATGTTGGTGAGGCACGTTTTAAACATGCATCATTTTGTGACACAGTAATTCAGCTTTACTAGCAAACCGGCGGTTAAACGAACGCCTTTCCAGCTCCTGGAGGAGTGTAGGGAGCGTTCGTGTGACACACCTATGCACTGCAGCCGACACACTTTCATGTTGTGACACACAGTTTAGAAAGCTCTGGCTTAGAGGGCTATAGTGCTTTAAGCAGCATATAAATTGTTGAAATAAACAAAATGAACAATAGCCCAAAGCATCTTGTGCAGTCAGGGAAGGCTATCTTATACAATTGAGGACCACACGGCGAATGTCATAGAAGGATGCGCCAAGGACGTACTGGGGGGGGGGGCTGCCAGGGCGATGGCCTTGGGCAGATTTTTCTAGGTGGCACATTTGGCTCCTAACCAGACAAACCACTCAGATCAGATCTCAGCATCGCAAAGCGACTCTGGACTGGCAGGGCAGCATGAGAAGAACGCAACAGCCATGTGCCGAGGCTGGGATGGAAGAGCGCATGGCTGTTGCGTCTTTCTCATGCCGCGACTGCCCTGCCAGCCCTGAACTGCTTTGCAAGGCTGGACTCAACCTCAAAAAGTGGCTCGGAGCTGGCATTGCTCTAGCAGCGCTGGCTGGACTGGCACAGCAGGTTCCGTTTACCTTCTGCGCCCTGCCCCGTCCCCTGGTTTGTTTGTGTGCCCCGGGTGGCAGCAAACCATGCTATGCCACTGGGATGTCCTCATACATCTGAATAGCTCTGGGACACCACCACAGTCACTATGTGATCCCTCTTTGTACAGGTCAGCTGTTCGCATCCTGCTGCCCTGAGCCAACTGCGGCCTCTCCAGAATGTGTAAATGGATGTGCTTTAGAATGTGATTTCTAATGCATGTTCTGGTGCAAATAGAGCAGCATCAGGGGTTTCACTACTGCAGCATGGCTGCAGTCTGGTTGCTAAGGTAACAGCGTATGTTCCCTCTCCCTTCCAACAAATACTTCCCAGCACGTTTAACAATCACCGTATATAGAGAACACTTTGAGGGACCCAGAAATGTTTCCAGAAGGTATCC